CACGCTTCTGACGCAAAGAGCTGCATGCCATCGAAGGCGCTGTCGAGGTTCGCCGAGCGCGGCGCACGTTGGAGGACACCGTCACCGACGAGCGCGTTGGACTTTTCACTCCGGACAAAGACGGGCACACAGCGGACGGTGCGGGGCGTGTGCCCGTCATAGCGGCGAGGCGCGGGACCGTCTGTGGCGAAGTGGGTCGCGTCCTCCGATTTCCTCAACTCACGGTCCGCTCCCTCTAAAAGGAACAGGTCCCCGGCCGCGCCGGCGCCCGTGCGGTCAGCGGTCCGATTTAGGTTTTTGTGGCAGGGTTCTTTAGAGAGAGTGGAGGTGTGGAGACTGGAGTGTGGTCGGCGACCTGCCGGGGTCGTGTCCCAGTCAGACTGTCACGTCCTCACGCGATGGTGGATGGAGGGGACTAGCACTACTCTAGCGGTCTTCCACATGGTCCCTCGGGTCCCTGCTGCTCCTAATCTCTTCGTACGTCCTGCTCCTGCTGATCTCCGCAACCAAGTCCTGCTCCTTCCCTCGTCTCGCCCTGCGGCACGGCCTGCGCGTCTGCTCCAACTCTCGCAACCTGGCAAAAGCCAAAATCTCCCCCCCGTCGTCTGCCCTGCGTCGTCTGGCGACGGGTCCACCTCCATAGTCGGTTTTGATGAGTCGCTGCTGCCCCCGCCTGCGGACACCGCCGCAGCGCTGAGTGGCCATTCGATGGCCGAAACGATCGTCGAAGCATCGGCAGGGTCGGAGCACGGCGAAGGGGACACAGTCTCGAGCACACACCCTCGCCCTCAGAAGTCAGATAAGGTAAGGTGAGGGGGGTACAGAGTGGATCAAAGAGGGCTGGCGTGAAAACTGCATACACATCAACGCGGGGGGGGGGGGGCATGTAGAGCCAGCCGCACTACGGCTCTGTACGTTGTGACAGCTCGCTATTGGTCTTGCTCACAGTTTCAGCTCGTTTCACACACGCACCCGCGAGAGGGGACACAGGTGTCAGGTCACAGCCGCACCGCACTCCGCGCACCGACAGTGCAGCCGCGAGCTGGATCGGAGCCGCGCCCCGCGCCCGCGCGCCCGCGCCTCCCTCTAAACGAAGAACAGATTTACTTACACCCCTGAAGTAGTGGGCTGGAGTAACTCAGTTTGGAGTGGAGATGGCCAACCCTGTACACTACAATAAAACAGCTTCCCGCCGGCGCGCTCCTCGCTAGCCGCGGCCAAAGGTGTACTCGCGCGGCGAGATGGCTGTCCGTGGCCTCGGTGCTGGCGGCGGCCTCCCTCCCCCCACCCGCGTGCGGGGCCCGAGCGAAGCGTCGGCGGTGGTCGGCCGCGCCTCTGGCGCCCTGGTCCGCGCCGAGCCGGGCCGCCGGCCGCCGGCGCGTGCGCTTGACGGCCTGCTCGACGGCGCTCCCGCAGCCTGGCCAAGCGCCTGCGGGCCGGGCCGGTGCCAAGTGGTGGCGCTGGACTGGTCGTTGTAGTAGTAGACTGCGCCGCTGACGGGGA